TTGACACTTACCCACAACCTCCAGACTGACCAGGTAGGGTCGTATGGTCCTGGTTGACACTTACCCACAACCTCCAGACTGACCAGGTAGGCTGGTATGGTCCTGGTTGACACTTACCCACAACCTCCAGACTGACCAGGTAGGGTCGTATGGTCCTGGTTGACACTTACCCACAACCTCCAGACTGACCAGGTAGGGTCGTATGGTCCTGTTTGACACTTACCCACAACCTCCAGACTGACCAGGTAGGCTGGTATGGTCCTGGTTGACACTTACCCACAACCTCCAGACTGACCAGGTAGGGTCGTATGGTCCTGGTTGACACTTACCCACAACCTCCAGACTGACCAGGTAGGCTCGTATGGGCCTGGTTGACACTTACCCACAACCTCCAGACTGACCAGGTAGGCTCCTATGGTCCTGGTTGACACTTACCCACAACCTCCAGACTGACCAGGTAGGCTCCTATGGGCCTGGTTGACACTTACCCACAACCTCCAGACTGACCAGGTAGGCTCCTATGGGCCTGGTTGACACTTGACACTTACCCACAACCTCCAGACTGACCAGGTAGGCTGGTATGGGCCTGGTTGACACTTACCCACAACCTCCAGACTGACCAGGTAGGGTCGTATGGTCCTGGTTGACACTTACCCACAACCTCCAGACTGACCAGGTAGGGTCGTATGGTCCTGGTTGACACTTACCCACAACCTCCAGACTGACCAGGTAGGCTCGTATGGTCCTGGTTGACACTTACCCACAACCTCCAGACTGACCAGGTAGGGTCGTATGGTCCTGGTTGACACTTACCCACAACCTCCAGACTGACCAGGTAGGCTCGTATGGTCCTGGTTGACACTTACCCACAACCTCCAGACTGACCAGGTAGGGTCGTATGGTCCTGGTTGACACTTACCCACAACCTCCAGACTGACCAGGTAGGGTCGTATGGTCCTGGTTGACACTTACCCACAACCTCCAGACTGACCAGGTAGGCTCGTATGGTCCTGGTTGACACTTACCCACAACCTCCAGACTGACCAGGTAGGGTCGTATGGTCCTGGTTGACACTTACCCACAACCTCCAGACTGACCAGGTAGGCTGGTATGGTCCTGGTTGACACTTACCCACAACCTCCAGACTGACCAGGTAGGGTCGTATGGTCCTGGTTGACACTTACCCACAACCTCCAGACTGACCAGGTAGGGTCGTATGGTCCTGTTTGACACTTACCCACAACCTCCAGACTGACCAGGTAGGCTGGTATGGTCCTGGTTGACACTTACCCACAACCTCCAGACTGACCAGGTAGGCTCCTATGGGCCTGGTTGACACTTACCCACAACCTCCAGACTGACCAGGTAGGCTCCTATGGGCCTGGTTGACACTTACCCACAACCTCCAGACTGACCAGGTAGGCTCGTATGGTCCTGGTTGACACTTACCCACAACCTCCAGACTGACCAGGTAGGGTCGTATGGTCCTGGTTGACACTTACCCACAACCTCCAGACTGACCAGGTAGGCTGGTATGGTCCTGGTTGACACTTACCCACAACCTCCAGACTGACCAGGTAGGGTCGTATGGTCCTGGTTGACACTTACCCACAACCTCCAGACTGACCAGGTAGGGTCGTATGGTCCTGTTTGACACTTACCCACAACCTCCAGACTGACCAGGTAGGCTGGTATGGTCCTGGTTGACACTTACCCACAACCTCCAGACTGACCAGGTAGGGTCGTATGGTCCTGGTTGACACTTACCCACAACCTCCAGACTGACCAGGTAGGCTCGTATGGGCCTGGTTGACACTTACCCACAACCTCCAGACTGACCAGGTAGGCTCCTATGGTCCTGGTTGACACTTACCCACAACCTCCAGACTGACCAGGTAGGCTCCTATGGGCCTGGTTGACACTTACCCACAACCTCCAGACTGACCAGGTAGGCTCCTATGGGCCTGGTTGACACTTGACACTTACCCACAACCTCCAGACTGACCAGGTAGGCTGGTATGGGCCTGGTTGACACTTACCCACAACCTCCAGACTGACCAGGTAGGGTCGTATGGTCCTGGTTGACACTTACCCACAACCTCCAGACTGACCAGGTAGGGTCGTATGGTCCTGGTTGACACTTACCCACAACCTCCAGACTGACCAGGTAGGCTCGTATGGTCCTGGTTGACACTTACCCACAACCTCCAGACTGACCAGGTAGGGTCGTATGGTCCTGGTTGACACTTACCCACAACCTCCAGACTGACCAGGTAGGCTCGTATGGTCCTGGTTGACACTTACCCACAACCTCCAGACTGACCAGGTAGGGTCGTATGGTCCTGGTTGACACTTACCCACAACCTCCAGACTGACCAGGTAGGGTCGTATGGTCCTGGTTGACACTTACCCACAACCTCCAGACTGACCAGGTAGGCTCGTATGGGCCTGGTTGACACTTACCCACAACCTCCAGACTGACCAGGTAGGCTCGTATGGTCCTGGTTGACACTTACCCACAACCTCCAGACTGACCAGGTAGGCTCGTATGGTCCTGGTTGACACTTACCCACAACCTCCAGACTGACCAGGTAGGGTCGTATGGTCCTGGTTGACACTTACCCACAACCTCCAGACTGACCAGGTAGGGTCGTATGGTCCAGGTTGACACTTACCCACAACCTCCAGACTGACCAGGTAGGCTGGTATGGTCCTGGTTGACACTTACCCACAACCTCCAGACTGACCAGGTAGGCTCCTATGGGCCTGGTTGACACTTACCCACAACCTCCAGACTGACCAGGTAGGCTCCTATGGGCCTGGTTGACACTTACCCACAACCTCCAGACTGACCAGGTAGGCTCGTATGGTCCTGGTTGACACTTACCCACAACCTCCAGACTGACCAGGTAGGGTCGTATGGTCCTGGTTGACACTTACCCACAACCTCCAGACTGACCAGGTAGGCTGGTATGGTCCTGGTTGACACTTACCCACAACCTCCAGACTGACCAGGTAGGGTCGTATGGTCCTGGTTGACACTTACCCACAACCTCCAGACTGACCAGGTAGGGTCGTATGGTCCTGTTTGACACTTACCCACAACCTCCAGACTGACCAGGTAGGCTGGTATGGTCCTGGTTGACACTTACCCACAACCTCCAGACTGACCAGGTAGGGTCGTATGGTCCTGGTTGACACTTACCCACAACCTCCAGACTGACCAGGTAGGCTCGTATGGGCCTGGTTGACACTTACCCACAACCTCCAGACTGACCAGGTAGGCTCCTATGGTCCTGGTTGACACTTACCCACAACCTCCAGACTGACCAGGTAGGCTCCTATGGGCCTGGTTGACACTTACCCACAACCTCCAGACTGACCAGGTAGGCTCCTATGGGCCTGGTTGACACTTGACACTTACCCACAACCTCCAGACTGACCAGGTAGGCTGGTATGGGCCTGGTTGACACTTACCCACAACCTCCAGACTGACCAGGTAGGGTCGTATGGTCCTGGTTGACACTTACCCACAACCTCCAGACTGACCAGGTAGGGTCGTATGGTCCTGGTTGACACTTACCCACAACCTCCAGACTGACCAGGTAGGCTCGTATGGTCCTGGTTGACACTTACCCACAACCTCCAGACTGACCAGGTAGGGTCGTATGGTCCTGGTTGACACTTACCCACAACCTCCAGACTGACCAGGTAGGCTCGTATGGTCCTGGTTGACACTTACCCACAACCTCCAGACTGACCAGGTAGGGTCGTATGGTCCTGGTTGACACTTACCCACAACCTCCAGACTGACCAGGTAGGGTCGTATGGTCCTGGTTGACACTTACCCACAACCTCCAGACTGACCAGGTAGGCTCGTATGGTCCTGGTTGACACTTACCCACAACCTCCAGACTGACCAGGTAGGCTCGTATGGTCCTGGTTGACACTTACCCACAACCTCCAGACTGACCAGGTAGGCTCGTATGGTCCTGGTTGACACTTACCCACAACCTCCAGACTGACCAGGTAGGGTCGTATGGTCCTGGTTGACACTTACCCACAACCTCCAGACTGACCAGGTAGGGTCGTATGGTCCAGGTTGACACTTACCCACAACCTCCAGACTGACCAGGTAGGCTCGTATGGTCCTGATTGACACTTACCCACAACCTCCAGACTGACCAGGTAGGGTCGTATGGTCCTGATTGACACTTACCCACAACCTCCAGACTGACCAGGTAGGCTCGTATGGGCCTGGTTGACACTTACCCACAACCTCCAGACTGACCAGGTAGGCTCGTATGGGCCTGGTTGACACTTACCCACAACCTCCAGACTGACCAGGTAGGCTCGTATGGTCCTGGTTGACACTTACCCACAACCTCCAGACTGACCAGGTAGGCTCGTATGGGCCTGGTTGACACTTACCCACAACCTCCAGATTGACCAGGTAGGCTGGTATGGGCCTGGTTGACACTTACCCACAACCTCCAGACTGACCAGGTAGGCTCCTATGGGCCTGGTTGACACTTACCCACAACCTCCAGACTGACCAGGTAGGCTCCTATGGGCCTGGTTGACACTTACCCACAATCTCCAGACTGACCAGGTAGGCTCCTATGGTCCTGGTTGACACTTACCCACAACCTCCAGACTGACCAAGTAGGCTCCTATGGGCCTGGTTGACACTTGCCCACAACCTCCAGACTGACCAGGTAGGCTCCTATGGGCCTGGTTGACACTTACCCACAACCTCCAGACTGACCAGGTAGGCTGGTATGGGCCTGGTTGACACTTACCCACAACCTCCAGACTGACCAGGTAGGCTCCTATGGGCCTGGTTGACACTTACCCACAATCTCCAGACTGACCAGGTAGGCTCCTATGGTCCTGGTTGACACTTACCCACAACCTCCAGACTGACCAGGTAGGCTCCTATGGGCCTGGTTGACACATCCACAACCTCTAGACTGACCAGGTAGGCTGGTATGGGCCTGGTTGACACTTACCCACAACCTCCAGACTGACCAGGTAGGCTCCTATGGGCCTGGTTGACACTTACCCACAACCTCCAGACTGACCAGGTAGGCTCGTATGGGCCTGGTTGACACTTACCCACAACCTCCAGACTGACCAGGTAGGCTGGTATGGGCCTGGTTGACACTTACCCACAACCTCCAGACTGACCAGGTAGGGCCGTATGGGCCTGGTTGACACTTACCCACAACCTCCAGACTGACCAGGTAGGCTCGTATGGGCCTGGTTGACACTTACCCACAACCTCCAGACTGACCAGGTAGGCTCGTATGGGCTTGGTTGACACCTGGCACTCGTAGAGGCCGGTGTCATCAACAACTGGGTGTCGTATCTGCAGCGTCCACTCGTTGGTTCCTTCACGGTGAAGAGCGGAGAACCTGTGGTCGCTGGTGTAGGTGAAGGAACCCACCGTCAGGATGTGGGTGTCACGATGTCTGATCCACGACACCTACAACCAGGGGGAGACATGTTTACGACATCCACACACCACTTGTTTGGGTGCTCTCTGACCCGCTACACCTAGAACAAGGGTTAGATCATGTGGGTTAAGGATGGTGAGAGTAGGAGGTATTGGGCTCCCTGGAACAGGAGAGATGGTTTAGGACTTCCAGGGAAGCCTTGTTAGGGCTGCTTGATGAGTTAGGAAAAAACAAGGAAGGGGTTCACAGGAAGGTTTCAGGAGGACAGTCGTTACTGACACCCCCAACTAGGAAGCCCAATTTAGAGGTTAAATCTTTAATTAAGTGAGGGGAGACGGGGCGTCCAGGAGAGGCCAGCTGGAAGTTGGCAATAGGAATTGTTTATATATATATATATATATATATATATATATATATATATATATATATATATATATATATATATATATATATATATATATATATATATATATATATTTTAATTTTGTGTACAGAGATTCGGAGACTATAAGGGGATTAAGGCCCGTGCTTGGCGACGTGGGTTGAAACACAAACATATATGTAAACACACACACGCACACACGCATGGTGGCTGAGCGGACAGCACGCTGGTCGCGTGATCCTGTGGTCCCGGGTTCGATCCCTGGCGCCGGCGAGAAACAATGGGCAGAGTATCTTTAACCCGAATGCCCCTGTTACCTAGCAGTAAATAGGTACCTGAGAGTTAGTCAGCTGTCACGGGCTGCTTCCTGGTGTGCGTGTGTGTGTGTGTGTGTGGTGTGGGAAAAAAAAGTAGTTAGTAACAGTTGAGGCGGGCCGAAAGAGCACAGCTCAACCCCCGCAAGCACAACTAGGTTAATACACACACACACACACACACACACACACACACACACACACACACACACACACACACACACACACACACACACACACACACACACACACACACACACACACACACACACATACACACACACACACACACATATACACACACACACACACACACAAGTCCCAAGACATGATGGACTACATCACGCAAAAGTGCAAGGACGCAGCAAACAAGTTTGTCCCAGCCCAAAAGGAAAACAGTGAAATGAAGATGAGAAACCCATGGTTTAATAAGATATGTAGGCTAGCTAAGCAGCAAAGTAAAAGGGCATGGAGAAACTATAGGAATAACAGGACTCTGGAGAGCAGAGAAAGATACCAGAATGCCAGGAATGAATATGTCAGGATGAGAAGAGAGGCAGAAAGACAATACGAAAATGACATCGCAAGCAAGGCAAAGACTCAGCCTAAATTGCTGCATAGCCACATCAGGAGAAAAACAGCAGTAAAGGAACAGGTTATGAAATTAAGGATAGGGGCAGAAGGATTCACTACAAACGACAAGGAAGTGTGTGAGAAACTGAATAAGAAATTCCAGTAGATCTTCACCATAGAGCAAGGAGAAATCCCAGAGATAAGAGAGGGAATAGCTAACCAGGAACCACTGGAAGAGTTTGAGATTACCAGCGGGGAAGTAAGGAAGTGTTTACTAGAGTTGGATGTGACAAAGGCTATAGGCCCAGAGGGAATCTTCCCTTGGATACTAAAGGAAGGAGCAGAAGCACTGTGTTTGCCACTCTATAGTAAATAACACATCACTGGCAACAGGGGAACTGCCAAAAATTTGGAAAGCAGCTAACGTAGTCCCGATATACAAGAAAGGGGATAGACAGGAGGCACTGAACTACAGGCCAGTGTCCCTAACCTGCATTCCATGCAAGCTGATGGAGAAGATTGTGCAAAGAAAGCTAGTGGAACATCTGGAGCGAAAGAACTTTGTAACACAGCATCAACATGGGTTCAGGGATGGCAGGTCCTGCCTCACAGGGTTACTTGAATTCTACGACCAGGCAACAAAAATAAGGCGAGAAAGAGAAGGGTGGGCAGACTGTATATTTTTGGATTGCTAGAAAGCCTTCGATACAGTACCACATAAGAGGCTAGTGAAAAAGCTGGAGTGAAAGGGAAGGTACTCCGTTGGATACAGGAGTACCTAAGCAACAGGAGACAACGAGTCAGTGTGAGGGGTGAGGTCTCAGATTGGCGAGACGTTACGAGTGCAGTCCCGCAAGGGTCAGTCCTTGGACCTATACTGTTTCTGATATATGTAAATGATCTCCCAGAGGGTATAGAATCGTTTCCCTCAATGTTTGCCGATGATGCAAAAATTATGAGGAGGATTGAAACTGAGGACGATAGTAGGAGGCTACAAGATGACCTAGACAAACAGAGTGCATGAATGGTCCAACAAATGGCTCTTGAAGTTCAACCCGAGTAAATGCAAAGTAATGAAACTTGGCAGTGGAAACAGGAGGCCAGACACAGGTTACAGAATAGGAGATGGAGTACTTAATGAAACGGACAGAGAGAAAGATCTGGGAGTTGATATCACATCAAACCTGTCTCCTGAAGCCCACATAAAAAGAATAACGTCTGCGGCATATGCGAGGCTGGCTAACATCAGAACAGCCTTCAGGAACCTGTGTAAGGAATCATTCAGAATCTTGTACACCACATATGTAAGACCAATCCTGGAGTATGCGGCCCCAGCATGGAACCCGTACCTTGTCAAGCACAAGACGAAGCTGGAAAAAGTCCAAAGGTATGCCACTAGACTAGTCCCAGAACGAAGAGGCATGAGTTACGAGGAAAGGCTGCGGGAAATGCACCTTACGACACTGGAAGAAAGAAGAGCAAGGGGAGACATGATCACAACCTACAAAATCCTCAGAGGAATCAACCGGGTAAACAAGGATAAACTATTCAACACTGGTGGGACGCGAACAAGGGGACACAGGTGGAAACTGAGTACTCACATGAGCCACAGAGACGTTAGAAGGAACTTTTTCAGTGTCAGAGTAGTTAACGGATGGAATGCATTAGGCAGTGATGTGGTGGAGGCTGACTCCATACACAGTTTCAAATGTAGATATGATAGAGCCCAGTAGGCTCAGGAATCTGTACACCAGTTGATTGACGGTTGAGAGGCGGGACCAAAGAGCCAAAGCTCAACCCCCGCAAGCACAAATAGGTGAGTACACACACACACACACACACACACACACACACACACACACACACACACACACACACACACACACACACACACACACACACACACACACACACACACACACACACACACACACACACACACACCCCCACACACACACCCACACCCCCCCCACACACACCCACACCCCCCCCCCCCACACACACACACACACCCACACCCCCCCCCCCACACACACACACACCCCACACCCCCCCCCCCACACACACACACACCCCCCCCCGACACACACACACAAACACACCCCCCCCCCCCCCCACCCACACCCCACCCCCCGCCACACACAAACAAACCAACAAACAAACAACTCACCGTCTTAGTGCCGAGGTTATTGACCCTACACACCAGGTGGGCGGTCTGGCCCTCCACGGCTGACACATTAGAGGTCACGCCGGGGTCAAACACGGGGTCAAAGAGGGTGTTAAGGTAGTCGCTCCAAGACGCGGGGTCAACCCCCAAGTTCTCCTCCTCCTCCTCGACCCCCATGCCCACCCCCATGCCCACGTGGGCATCGCCAGGGAGGGCCAGCAGAGTGCCAGAGGCAGGATACGTGGCACTCCGTATATCTGGTGCCACTGTTGGGAGCAAATGGAAGCTAATTAGTATTTTTCGTATTGATAATTGGGTTGTTAGTAACACAGCTTCTAGTGTCACTGTTAATGATACTGTTAGTGTTATTGCTGCTGCTTTCACAACAGTTACCTTGATCACAGTCTCCTAACAAGAACACAATATTAGCAAATAAACAAGATTAATAATAACATCCATATATTTAAGAATTTTTGTCACGCTGTCAGTCTCTCCAAGGGTAGAGACCAAACGTTTACGGCTAGTCTCATTAAGCTTTCTAAGATTGAAAAGGATTTGATGGGAAGTGTTATAGTGGGGTTGGGGTCGGCCCTCATGCCATCCTTGAAGGGGGTTCGACCCCCTGTACCTTCTTTGCGAAGTCTGTGGATATGAAATGTACCGCCTGCAGTCCGTAGATTTTATCCGTAGTTCCAATAGGAATGAATTCAGATATTGACATTCAAAACGTATGTTCAAATGATATAATTGCACTCTGGCTGCCTCTGTTTACATGCAGTGATGGGGAACACAGGGACTGGGGAATGGAGATGGGGAGAGGCACGTGTTTGTGTACGGAGAGCGTGGAAAGAGATGATGTGTGTGTGTGTGTGTGTGTGTGTGTGTGTGTGTGTGTGTGTGTGTGTGTGTGTGTGTGTGTGTGTGTGTGTGTGTGTGTGTGTGTGTGTGTGTGTGTGTGTCTGTGTGTGTGTGTGTATGTGTGTATGTGTGTGTACTCACCTAATTGTACTAGCGTGGGTTGAGCTTTGGCTCTTTGGTCCCGCCTCTCAACTGTCAATCAACTGGTGTACAGATTCCTGAGCCTACTGGGCTCTATAATATCTACATTTGAAACTGTGTATGGAGTCAGCCTCCACCACATCACTGCCTAATTCATTCCACCTGTTAACCACTCTGACACTGAAAAAACTCATTCTAACGTCCCAGTAGCTTATTTGGGTACTCAGTTTCCACCTGTGTCCCCTAGTTAGCTCAACACCAGTGTTGAATAGTTTATCCTTATCTACCCTGTTATTTCCCCTGAGGATTTTGTTGGTAATGATCATGTCCCCCCTTATTCTTCTGTCTTCCAGTGTCGTAAGGTGCATTTCCCGCCGCCTTTCATCGTAACTCATGCCTCTTAGTTCTGGGACTAGTCTAGTGGCATACCTTTGAACTTTTTCCAGCTTCGTCTTCTGCTTGACAAGGTACGGGCTCCATGCTGGGGCCGCATACTCCAGGATTGGTCTTACATATGTAGTATAAAAGGTTTCCGAATGATTCCTTACACAGGTTCCTGAACGCTGTCCTGATGTTAGCCAGCCTCGCATATGCTGCAGACGTTATTCTTTTTATGTGGGCTTCAGGAGACAGGTTTGGTGTGATATCAACTCCTAGATCTTTCTCTCTGTTCGTTTCAGGAAGTACTTCATCTATTCTCTATCCTGTGTCTGTCCTCCTGTTCCCATCGCTCAATTTCCACCTGTGTCTCCTAGTGCGTGTGCCCCTTGTGTTAAATAGCATGTCCTTATCTACTCTATCAATTCCTTTGAGAATCTTGTATGTGGTGATCATGTCTCCCTAATTATTCTGTCTTCCAGCGACGTGAGATTTAACTCCCGTAGTCTCTCCTCGTAGCTCATACCTTGCAGCTCGGGTACTAGTCTGGTGGCAAACCTTTGAACCTTCTCCAGTTTAGTCTTATCCTTGACTAGATATTGAGCATGCTGGGGCTGCATACTCCAGGATTGGTCTGACATATGTGGTATACAAAGTTCTGAATGATTCCTTACACAAGTTTCTGAATGCCGTTCTTATGTTGCCCAGCCTGGCGTATGCCGCTGATGTTATCCTCTTGATATGGGCTTCAGGGGACAGGTCTGGCGTGATATCAACCCCCAGGTCTTTCTCTCTCTCTGACTCTTGAAGTAATTCATCTCCCAAGTGATACCTTGTATCTGGTCTCCTGCTCCCTACACCTATCATCATTACATTACATTTGCTTGGGTTAAACTCTGACAACCATTTGTTCGACCATTCCTTCAGTTTTTATAGGTCTTCCTGGAGCCTCAAGCAGTCCTCCTCTGTCTTAATCCTTCTCATAATCATGTCGTCGTTTGCAAACATTGAGAGGAATGAGTCTATACCCTCTGGGAGATCATTTACGTATATCAGAAACAGGATAGGTCCAAGTACAGAGCCCTGTGGGACTCCGCTGGTGACTTCACGCCAATATGAGGTCTCATCCCTCACTGTAACTCTCTGCTTCCTATTGCTTAGGAACTCCCTTATCCACAGGAGCGCCCTACCAGTTACTCCTGCCTGTGTCTCCAGCTTATGTACCAGCCTCTTATGGGGTCCTGTGTCAAAGACTTTCAGACAGTCCAAGAAAATGCAGTACGTCCAGCCATCTCTTTCTTGCTTAATCTTTGTCACTTGGTCGTAGAATTCTATTAAGCCAGTAAGGCAAGATTTATCCTCCCTGAACCCATGTTGGCGATTTGTCACGAAGTCCCTTCTCTCCAGATGTGTTACTAGGTTTTTTCTCACGATCTTCTCCATCACCTTGCATGGTATACAAGTCAAGGACACTGGTCTGCAGTTCAGTGCCTCTTGTCTGTCACCTTTTTTGTATATTGGGACCACATTCGCCGTCTTCCATATTTCTGGTAGGTCTCCCGTCTCCAGTGACCTACTATACACTATGGAGAGTGGCAAGCAAAGTGCTCCTGCACACTCTTTCAATACCCATGGTGAGATCCCATCTGGACCAATAGTCTTTCTCACATCCAGATCCAGCAGGTGTCTCTTGACCTCTTCTCTTGTAATTTCGAACTCTTCCAAGGCCGCCTAGTTTACTTCCCTTTCTCCTAGCACAGTGACCTCACCTTGTTCTATTGTGAAGACCTCCTGGAACCTCCTCTTGAGTTCATAACACACACCTCTTTGTCATTCTCTGTATACCTGTCCTCGCCTGTTCGAAGTTTCAATACCTGTTCTTTCACTGTTGTTTTCCTTCTGATGTGACTGTGGAGTAGCTTTGGTTCGGTCTTGGCTTTGTTTGCTATATTATTTTCATAACTTTTCTCTGCTTCTCTTCTCACCCTGACATACTCATTCCTGGTTCTCTGGTATCTCTCTCTACTTTCTGGTGTTCTGTTATTCCGGAAGTTCCTCCACGCCCTTTTGTTCAGTACCTTTGCTTCCATACATGCTCTATTATACCATGGATTCTTCTTTTGCTTCTCGGATTTTTCCTTTTGGGCCGGGATGTATCTGCCTACTGCCTCCTGACACTTTTGGGTGACATAGTCCATCATATCTTGTACAGACTTAGCTCTGAGGACTGTGTCCCAAGGTATTTCCCTTAGGAAGCTTCTCATCCCCCCATAATTTCCCTTTCGGTATGCCAGCCTTTTGTTTCCTAGTTCTTTTTTGGGGGGATAATTCCTAGCTCTACCAGGTACTCAAAGTTCAATACACTGTGGTCACTCATTCCCAAGGGTGCTTCCATCTTGACTTCCCTTATATCCCATTCATTTAGGGTAAATATCAGATCAAGCATTGCTGGTGTGTGTGTGTGTGTGTGTGTGTGTGTGTGTGTGTGTGTGTGTGTGTGTGTGTGTGTGTGTGTGTGTGTGTGTGTGTGTGTGTGTGTGTGTGTGTGTGTGTGTGTGTGTACTCACCTAGTTGTGCTTGCGGGGGTTGAGCTCTGGCTCTTTGGTCTCGCCTCTCAACCGTCAATCAACAGGTGTACAGATTCCTGAGCCTATTGGGCTCTATCATATCTACACTTGAAACTGTGTATGGAGTCAGCCTCCACCACATCACTTCCTAATGCATTCCATTTGTCAACCACTCTGACACTGAAAAAAGTCATTTCTAATATCTCTGTGGCTCATTTGGGCACTCAGTTTCCACCTGTGTCCCCTTGTGCGTGTACCCCTTGTGTTGAATATCTGTCTTTATCTACCCTATCAATTCCCTTCAGAATCTTGAATGTGTCATGTGATCATGTCCCCCCTAACTCTTCTGTCTTCCAGCGAAGTGAGGATTAATCCCCGTAGTCTCTCCTCGTAGCTCATACCTCTCAGCTCCGGTACTAGTCTGGTGGCAAACCTTTGAACCTTTTCCAGTTTCGTCTTATCCTTGACTAGATATGGACTCCATGCTGGGGCTGCATACTCCAGGATTGGCCTGACATATGTGGTATACAAAGTTCTGAATGATTCTTTACACAAGTTTCTGAATGCCGTTCGTATGCTGGCCAGCCTGGCATATGCCGCTGATGTTATCCGCATGATATGTGCTGCAGGAGACAGGTCTGGCGTGATATCAACCCCCAAGTCTTTTTCATTCTCTGACTCCTGAAGAATGTCCTCTCCCAGATGATACCTTGTATCTGGCCTCTTGCTCCCTGCACCTATCTTCATTACATTACATTTGGTTGGGTTAAACTCTAACAACCATTTGTTCGACCATTCCTTCAGCTTGTCTAGGTCTTCTTGAAGCCTCAAACAGTCCTCTTCTGTCTTAATCCTTCTCATAATTTTGGCATCGTTCGCAAACATTGAGAGAAATGAATCGATACCCTCCGGGAGATCATTTACATATATCAGAAACAAGATAGGACCGAGTACAGAGCCCTGTGGGAATCCACTGGTGACTTCACGCCAATCGGAGGTCTCACCCCTCACCGTAACTCTCTGCTTCCTATTGCTTAGGTACTCCCTTATCCACTGGAGCACCTTACCAGCTACACCTGCCTGTCTCTCCAGCTTATGTACCAGCCTCTTATGCGGTAATGTGTCAAAGGTTTCCGACAATCCAAGAAAATGCAGTCTGCCCAGCCCTCTCTTTCTTGCTTAATCTTTGTCACCTGATCGTAGAATTCTATTAAGCCGTGTTTGTGTGTGTGTGTGTGTGTGTGTGTGTGTGTGTGTGTGTGTGTGTGTGTGTGTGTGTGTGTGTGTGTGTGTG